ATACTGCAAAAACAAAACTCCTGATCTACAAAACAGGTCTCATAATACCCACCTTCTAACATTACCACAGGCACAGGGACGGGGTTCACAGAGCACTTACCTCAGTGGCTGGCATCTATGAAGTGCAATGTAAGCACTGCACATGTCTCCCTCAGGAGATTATCAAGCTCTTGGAGAGGAATCCCTTCTCATGTGCACATTTGTGATGTACCTATGTTGTGACAGCTGCTTGCCACTGGGGACAATGTAAAAAGAACTTGGTAAATGGAAAGACTGATAATTATTGACTTAAATATAATGTGACGAATGCTACACTATAGGAAAGAGTAAAGTGTAGAGAACACAGTCTGTCAAGTCGAATGGTCCGGAAGAGACGGGGCTTGATGAATGGATATGTAAGGTGAAAGGCTGAGCTGTAAGTACAGTGCATGGAGGAGAACCATGGGTGAGGCTGGAGAGGCAGGTTGGGCCCTGTAACCTGCAGGAGTCTACATGTCATCGATCAGTGTTTGTCAACCTCAGCTTCCTAATGCATCGGATGTGGAGCAAGAGACATCCAAATCTATCAGGTGTGGTGCAAGAAATTTTGAGGAGTCAAAAGCAACTTGTTGCTAATAATAGTTGAAATATGGCTACTTCACGTTGTAAAAACAAATTGGATCAGACTCCCAAACAATGTTGAACAAAAGAAGCCAGAAACAAAAGCATACCTGCTCTAGGATTCCATTTCTACAAATAAGGCAAAACTAGATAAGGCTCACCTGTACCATCTCAGTTCAGAATATAGTTATCTTTAGGGGTGGATAGTGATTGGAAGGAGATCCAAGGGGCCCTTCTGGGTGCTGCTAATGTTGTTTTATAATCTGAGTGCTGTTACTCAGGTGTGCCATTTCTGGAAATTCAACTAGCTGTATATTACATGTACATATGTAATATGTATGTATCTCTTGTACTTCAATTTAAAATAAATAGAGTACATTTAAGACATTGTGTTCACATGCTTTTACTGGGAGAAGAGTTCCAGACTGTTCCTTGGGAGTTTACCGGGAACTCTCTGTGCAGACAAGTATTTCTAGTTATATGTTACGGCCTAACCTGAGAACAGGTTCTGGATGCTCTGAAAAGCCCATGAAAATTAGCCAAATTAAAAAGAAAGAAATAAATTATGGTAGAAACTGATTCAATGCATATCTATACCAACAGTGTTTTACCAAACTTTTTTTGGTGTGGTTCAAGTGATGAGTGCTTGCCAGGCATTGAGTTCAAACCCTAGTACCACAAAGAAAAAGAAAACAATTTCTATTTGGTTAATATCCTATTGTACTACCACCCCATTGTAGCACCTCCCAGAAGGGTCACCTTTAGCAACAGAAGGGCTTGGCTACATGCGTATGTGTGAGATGACAGATTTATAGTACCAATTACTTATGTAGAGATTCTGAAATACCAACACTTAGCATACCTGTAAGATTGCTTTCTCCTCATTTTATGTACAAGGAAAGGCTGGTATCTCCTTATGAAACTTACAAAGAAATGTAGGACAAAAGCCCATCTGCATCAGCACAAATTAGAAGTCATTCAACATTTATGAACCCCTAGGAAGATATTCAGTATTTTTTTCTTTTCTCAAAAAGTTATTTTCATTAAAAAGTTATTTATCCAGCTAAAAAGAGCACAAAAAGATATGAGAAGTCAAATCTACTTCAGACCTCTCAAGGCCATCACTACTATGATTTTCTTTTTCATTTTTTGGTAGTACTGGGGTTTGAACTCAGTCCTCACACTTGCTAGGCAGGCGCTATACCACTTGAGCCACTCTGCCAGCCCTTTACACATTTTAAATGAATACTTTATATACAATTGGCCCTCTGCATCATGGCTTCAACCAATAGCAGACGGAAAACACTAAAACAAATTACACCTGTACGAACATGTAGAGACTACTTTTGCCATACTTCCTAAACAATGTAGTTTAACAGTTATACTGTTTACTATAACTCTAGTTATAGTAATCTAAGAGGATGTGTGTAGGTTATATACAAATCACAGGCCATTTAATGTAAGGGACTTGATTTTTTTAGTATTGAATCCTAGAACCTCCAAAAAGAAAAAAACAAAAGATTTGTTTGGTTAATCCTTCACTGTCACTTTAGCCATCCTCTAGAAAGCCCCACTTACCTTTTCCATTTCTACCTGAGTAAGTACTAAACTGTTGTGATTACTATCATCAAATATTGATCAAATAATGTATTTTAATGTCTAGTATGATCAGTCTTGCTATATTCCTCTACAAAGGGGCCACTTACAAGACATTTTAAGGGCAATAGTTTTTTTTTTTTTTGTGGTGTGCTGGGGATTGATTACAGGGTCTCACACATATTAGGCAAGTGCTCTTCCACTGAGCTACACCCAGAGCCCAAGGGCAACATCTTAAAATGTTTTAATAACAGACTCACCAGTACCATACAGTTGTTCTATTACACAAATCTAATAAATATGAAAAATTGGATTTACTGCTTCTTCTCAAAAAGACAGAATGTAATTACTATTATCACAATATTTTTAAATAAGAAAATTACCTAGTGATTGAAAACATTTTTTGGCAGTACTGGAGTTTTAACTTGGGGCCTTGCATTTACTAGGCAAGTGCTCTACCACTTGAGTTCTACAAACATTTTTTAAATAATTATACTCAGCCAGATGTGGTGGTGTATGCCTGTAACCCCAGCACTTGGGAGGCAGAGGCAGGAGGATCACAAGTTCATGGTCAGGCTAAACTACATAGTAAAACCCTGCATTTAAAAAAAAAAATTCATGCTCAAAAACTGGAGACTTCAAAACATGCCATAAAACTACAGTAATCAAAATAGTGTGATACTGGTATAAAAACCAGCACACAGATCGACAGAATCAAATAGCTAATCAACAAATTAATCCACATATTTGCGGCCATCTGATTTTTGACAAAGGTGCCATGAATACTCATTGGAGAAAGGACAGTCTCTTTAAATGGTACTGGGAAAACTGGCCATACCTATTTAGAAGGATGAAACTAGACCACTATCTCTCACCACATACACAAGTCAACTCAAAATGGATTGAGTACCTAAATGTATGACCTTAAACTATGAAACTATGAAAGAAAACAGGAGACACATCATGTCTGAAAATGGAGATCAAGGCAAAGATCCTTATTTATTTATTGCACAGGTGATAAAAGCAAAACTAGGCAAATGGGATTCTATCAAACTAAGAAGCTTCTGCATAGCAATATTGTGAAAAGACAGCTTGCAGAATGGGAGGAAATATTTACAAACTATTCACCTGGCAAGGGATTAATATCCAGAATATATAAAAAACTCAAATAACTCAACAGTTAAAGCAAAAAGTAAAAGCCAACCACAAGTAATCCAATTAAAAAACAGGCAAAAGACCTGAATTTCTCAAAAGACATGCAAATGACTAACAAGTATATGAAAAAATGTCTATCACTAATCATCAGGAAAATGCTAGTCAAAACCACAATGAGATAACATGTCACCCCAGTTAGAATAGCTACTATTGCAAAAACACAAAAAGTAAGAACTGGTGGAGGGTGCAGATAAAGAACTCTGACACACTATTTGTCAGGAATGTATATTAGTAATAGCCACTGTAAAACATAAACAGTATGGAAGTTCCTCAAAAAGATGAAAATAAAACTGTTGTAAAATCCAGTAATCTCATTACTGGGTGGGTATATATCCAAAGGCATCACTCACAGTATGTCAAAGAGCTACCTGCATGCCCATGTTTACTGCAGAACTATTCACAATAGCCAAGATAAAGAATCGATCGAGACAACCACCAATGAAAGAATGCATAAAAAGTGTAATACATGATGGATTACTATTTCATTAAAAAGAATGAGAACCTGTTGCAGCAACATGGATGCAACTAGAGGACATCATGTTAAGTGAGGTGAGCCAGGTAAAGGAAGACAATTACTGCATATTCTCACTCATTTGAGAAAGTAAAAAGTTGATCACTTATAAGTGGAGTAGCACACAGGTCATTAAGGATAGCGAGGGTAGGAGAAAAGGAGGGACAGGTTAGGTAATGGGTATTGATGCAGAAACTAGTTCTAAAGTCCTACAGCACAGAAGGGTAGCTATGGTCTACAACATTTCAAAATAACTAGAGTTTAATGGTTCCCAAAACTTAGAATTGATAATATTTGAGGAGATGGAAATGCTAATTATCCTGATTTGGCCATTACACATTGTATACAATCACAATCAAATTATCACCATTCATAAATATGTATGTCAATTAAAATTTTTCAGAAAGAACCATGTTCATAAAGCAGACAATGTACATGAATTCAATCACCTATCTTAAATTATTTTTCTACCCATCACTGTATATAGATGAGGAATAATAACTATAGTGGGCTGGTGTCTTCCCAAAATTCATGCTCATCTGGAACCTGTAAGTGTGACCTTATTTGGGAATAAGGTCTTTGCAGATACAAGGAAGCTAAGAGGGGTCATACTGGATTAGGGTGGGTACTAGTCCAATGATATGCACATAGGGAAAATGCCACATAAGGCAGACACTAAAGTGATGCAGCAACAAGGCAAGGACCACAAGGATGGCCAGTGGCCACCAGAAGCAGGGAAGAGAAAGCATGGCCCTGTTGACACCTTGATTTTAGACTTCTAGCCTCTACAACTGCAAGAGAATAAATTTTAGTAGTTTTTAAGCTGTTAAGTATGTGGTAATTTGTCATAGCAGTTCTAGAAACTAAGTAATTGTCCCAAATTTTGTGTCAGTCTCAACTACCAGAAATTTCAAGTGATACCCAACTATACCAAGTGACTTATCATACAATCTATCTTTTTAGGCACTGGGCAGTTTCCAACAAAGCAAAAAGAAAAGCCTTTTGCAGTTCTATCATCTCATTGAGGCACAATTTACATTAAAGAAAAACAATTTCTAGAAATAAAATGCCACTGTTTTACAAAGGTTTCATACTTTATTACATATTGCCTCTATACGTTTTAACAATTTTAGAAGTGCAGTTGCATTATATGGGAAGAGATTTTTCTTTTGCAAACGGTAAATGGCACCTTGTAGTTCTTCAAAACATTGTACTGTTCTGTAGAATATTCCTAGTTCTGAGAGACTACTATCTGGGACTATTTCACAATCAATAGAAAAGGGGGTATTAGATTCTTTTAGAACCAGAGGCCTTGACTGAGGCTCTAGGCTAAGTTCATTTTTATCCCTACTTGTCCCAGCGGAGTCTTGAATTTTCTTAGTTGCTTCTTGGTGCAAAGGTGTCTGGTCTCGGTTTGCTAAACACTGGTCTATGGAGTCCGCTTCAGAATCATCAGAGCTGTCATAAGCCACTAGGCTTTGAGAAGCCACAGCAGAAGGCAGACTATGATCCCTCACCAGGTGGGTCTCTGTGGCCATAGCAACCTGGGTCAGTGGTTCAGGAGAATCACCAGGAGCCCAGGAAACCCAAGGGTAAGCATTCTTGTGACTTTCAGAAGCAGTCAGACAGTGAGGGGTTGTCTGGTTAGTGTTTTTGTCTTGAACAAGTAAGGGGACACAACCACAAATATCTGTGCCACACTGAGATTCAGTTGCATCAAAGAACTTGCAAATGCTGAAAAAATGATCCCAATCTTCTTGCAATAATTTTAAATATCTAACAAAATATTCTAGAAAACAGGTTTCTGATGAAATCAAAAAGTCAAGAAGAACTGTAGAATCAAATCCTATATTCTCTAAGAAGAACAAGAAAATACAGTGAGGATTATAACCATTTTCATGTGTGTGATGGATCCACGTTTCTTTTTCTTGGGTCAAGCTTTCAGTAGCTTCACACTGTCTGAAAATGAAGATAATGGAGAACCCAGATCAATGACTCTTTATGAACAGCAGTCTTAGCAGACACTATCCTCATACCATACCATCCCATTGCTTTCCAATCTACGCATCACTTTAAAAGAAAAAAATTCAAAATAAATTCCTTTCTCCACACACTAAATAAATTTGACTCAATAAAAGAAAATCCACTGACTTTATGGCAGTTCTTGTGACATCAGAACCCTTCATTCTCAATGGCAACCATTTCACCCTCAACAGGGGTGGACATGTGACCCAGACTGATCAACTGGAGCACCCTGAGCTTATGGCCACGATGACTGGTTCTGACAAGAATATGGGCCCCGGACAGGCTAATCAGATCTCCCCTGGAACTTTTATTGGGGCTATGCAAGATTATAACTATTAGACGAGCTGCCGGTGGCCAGCCTGAGAACAAACTCAGCTGTGAAGGAGTGAAGAAGAGAAATAACTGATGACATGATTTGGATCTCTGTATATATCATTACATCTGATACCAGGTTGATCCTTTAGAACTCCCAATCATGAGCCAATCATTTCTCATTTTTTTGTTGTTGTTTAAGTCAGTTTGAGTTGGTTTCTATCACTGAAAGCCAAAAAACTTAACCAATAACTGCATTTTTAAAAAAGAAATACGTATGTCATAAACATATGCTACTCTGGACACTGCTGAAGTTAATACAGTGAGAAACTCACATATAAGACAAACTTCTTTCTCTTTTATTATGGAGACACAGTCTCACTATGTAGCCTAGGCTGGCCTTGAACTCTAGATCTTCCTGCTTCAGCTTCCCAAGTGCTGCGATTACAAGCATGCACCACTATGCTCAGCAGCAGGCTTCCTCTTTTCTGAGGATTGGGAAGTCAACTTTGAGTAAAACTAAGAATAGATGCTTATAAGCACGTGCATTTTCAGTCTGATTTGTATTTTACTGTCTTTGAGCCAAATTCAAATCACATGCAGGAATTCTGTGTTCTTGATTACAGCCTTTTGAAAATTGGCCCCGAATGCTCAGTCTGCAAGCAGCCACTGCCAGCAGTGTCCTAACACAGTAAAATACTGGCAAGCACAATACTGCACCATGGGTCATTAGGAAGAAATCCCTTTCTCTTGGGCCAAAAAAGAAATGGAAATAAAGCAAATACTTTAGGGTTTTAATAAAGCAGAGCAGAAATAGTGGGAAAGGTCATCAGTTACTAACTTCATAAGCAATTACAGATACTTGCCATGAGAAGATATTGCCACAAGTACAGCTGTTTTAAAAACGCAGAAACAGCATCAGCATAAAATGTCATCCATAACATAACTCTAGAACTAATTTTAGATATTTGCCTTTAGAAGGCAGCAGCCCACATGTAGCTACATATTAAAGTGAAAATTTGGGACAATTCTTGTGATTACGTACAAGCTTGTATTCACTTTTACAAAAGCAAAAATCGTCTTATAGAGGAAGCCTGATATAGAAAAGTAAGTCTTAGAGGTGAACAATGGCCTCAACCATCAACTGAGACTGAGAGACATATACTAGCTTACTCCTGATCACACAGGTACAACTCAAGTGGAGACTAAACAGGAACCCAGGCTTGCAGATCCCAGTCTAGTTCTTCTACCTCACATCTGCCCAGCCAGCCAAGTTCTCTTGACAACACAAATGTCCTCACGTTTTCATGTAAGGCAGGGTTATGGAACTGGAACTTATGAGGAAACCACAAGAAATTTCTCCAATGATGAGAAGTAAATGATATGCCTGACACAATTCCTAAAATGATTCCTGCTTTTTTGGCTAGCAGGTGGCCTTACACAGTTACTTTAAACACAGTACCTGGTCAGCTTCAGGTAGATGCTTAGCAATGCTTTGGCAGCCTCCAGCATGTCATCGTCTTGTTCTATGAAGACCTTGGACAGCCATTCACACGGATTGTGGAAATGCAGAGAGGACTGAAGGTGAGGCTTTAAGAAGGTCAGTAACTCAGACATGAACCTGTGCAAATCAACTTCAAAAAATGTAAATTTCAAGTGGAGGCAACAGTTTATGAATACATGAATAATATCTTGACCATATATAAATTTCTAGCCTTGCCAATACTTTCAAGTACTCCTTCAGAAAGTCCTATGAGTTGGGGATTATCTCTGTTTTCACAAATGAGGAAACTGAGGCTCAAAGAAAGAAAGTGACTTACTGAAGAGTATTCACTTATAAATATGAATGTGAGAATGTGTATGTGCCACAACTGTTACAGTACTAATGATAGTTTGACTAACAAATGTTACATGATTTCCTCTTTGTTGGTTACTACAGCTATCAGTTACTAGAGAGAACAATGCAACCAAACAAAAAATGTCTTCAAATTAACAGAAAAGTGTATTTTTTTTGTTTGCTTGCTTAAAGCATTAAAAGAAAGAACTTCTTAACATTTAGCTAAAAATCAAACAGGTCCTTTTAATTGCAATATAAAACTGAGTAACAGATGCCATCTAGTGTTGTAAATTGAAACTGCACAGAATTAAAATAGTTACAAAAAGCTAGATGGTACCCAACACAGTTCAGGGAAGTCCCTGCTTACATAAGTCCCTGCTTACAATTCAGGTTTTCTTTGAAACTGGATACAGTTTGCTTAGAGACATTTGTTGTTCATGTCTCTCAAGTGAAGTAGAGGCCTAGTCTTCCCCAACACCTACACTAAAAACCACACTTTCCAAGACTTTCTTTGAATTCTGGAGTTAACATCTTGGAAATTATATGCAACAATTCCTTTGTCAATAGAATTTCTCCATGTTAGCTTCAGTAATGTGAATAAATGGGTATACTGCTTTCAATAGGTGGCAACATAAATAAAATGCCACAAATATTTAAAATGAGTTGAATTGACTTTTCTATTACTTGCTTTTTGATGACTCAACAGCAACTTTTTTTCCTATAAACCTAAGCTACTCGTTATGCTACATATATTCAATTTAAGGATGCTACATATATTCAATTTAAGGACTTCCAGTTCTCTTTCTTTCTGTCTCTTTCTCTCTCACTGTCTCTGTTTCTATCTCTCTGTTGAAAAGGTAATTAATAAATTATAACCAGGATAACACATAGTTTAAGTTAGTAGAATTTATATTAGTACTGAGATTTAATAATTATGAACTATTTTACTTAACAAACGATTGCACATTACTTTGCATAAAAAAGCAGTTTGGAGAATTACCTTTCATCTCATTTGCTGAGGTACAATTTCGGAACTTGATTTCTAAGGATTTTATTGTAACTAAGCTTGCTGCTCTAAGGACCACATGAGCTGGATCAGAACTTCGTCCACATCCAGGCTGAACTTCATCTCCTCCAAAGCAGGAAGGCTTCCCATGTACAGAAAATGTCTTCAACAACCCCAGATGCACGGCATGCAAAACAGCATCAGCTAAAGCCAACATGTCCATGTCAAGGTGACGGTCTGGCGACAATAAGGCAGGCACAGATCCACGACAAAGGTCTTCACCCACTTTACAAAGAAGGCACTTTTTGATGAATACAACCAACTTCCTTTTGACAAAAGCCTCAATAGGCCAGGTAAGAATGTCTAGAACACAAGGTTTCAAAAATAAAATCCTTTGGCTCTTACAATGAAACTTCAGGTAGATTCTAGAGGCTATGAGAAGTTCAAGTAAATCCAGGAAACACATCAAACTGTTTATTATAGTAGAAGGATTCTGACAGTTTTCAAAATGCTGAGAAAATAAGGAATTGTAGAATACTTCAAAAGTAGTGTCAAAAGGAATCAGGAACTGTTTTAGAATTTCTGAAATTATAACAATAGTAATCATAAGCAATGGAAACAAACCTTTCTTAAAATTCAACTTCAAGGTCAATTTTTGTACATATCACTTTCATGAGATAAAAGTGCTTACCTCTAACAGATCAAGCGAGGAAGCAGAGATTAACAGCTAATGAGTATGTTTAACATTCAGTTTACAAATACCAATAGCAAGAGACCATGCAAGGGAAATAAAATAACAAAAAGCTTTAAAATCTTCCCTTATACCTTTTTGAGATATAATACATAAATATATGGAAATGTCACCATGAAACTCCCTATATAGCTATCTTAAACAAAAATGTCTCTTTTTGGAAAACAGGACAGGAAGGTAAAACAGGTCCTGTTTGGGAGTTGGTATCAGTGGGAAGAGGAAGATACAAGGAAAGGGTATAGGGTAGTGAATATCATGGAAATACTATGTTCTCAGGTATGAAAATGAAAAAAATGAGACCTGATGAAACTATTCTAAGAAGGGGAGGAGGGGAATAAAAGAGAATGATGGAATGAATGAATTTAACTAAGATATATTGTAAGCACTTTTGTAAATGTCACAATGTACCCCCAGTACAAAAATAATATAATAAAAAAGACAAAAAACAAAAGAAAACAAAAAAATTGAACTAAAACCAGTAAGAACAGTCAATTATAAACTGAGGAAAAGGATAAACCGAGGCAAGACATACAAAGCAATATATGAAAAGCCAGTCATTGCTATTCCTAAATTGAGATAATCATTTAGACACTGGTCAGTTTAAGTGAATCATTTGACAAAGAGTCAGAATTCTGCTCTATGTCAACTTTAAACAGGCTGTAGTAAAATGGGCCCTTTGGTCCATTCCATTGATATTACATGTAAAAAAGTAAATTGAAATTATCTTTAGGGACTATTTGGTTGTGTCTTTAATCCAGAGGTTTCACTCCTAATAAAACCTATCAGTATTTTTATAGAGACTTATTTAAAAAGTCATGGTACATTCATACAATACAATAATATGTATCATGTCACTTACCAAAAAATAATGACATAAGTATGCAGTAATGTGAATAGAAATTCATGACACAAGAGATATTATTTTGAAAAGTAACTGTCAGAAAGTGTGTATAAAATAATTCATTTGTAACAAATTTTGTACTACTCTATGTAACATACTTTCTACATAGAGAAAATAACTGCAAGTCTGTGCAAGGAGCTCTTTCCTTTGAGAACTGGAATGAGTTAAAAGGGGTATTTATTTTTCATTTAATTTTCTCTATTAAAAAATATTTACCAGTATGCACTATCCTCTAAAAAACATTTTTGAAAAAAAATCTCATGTTCTTAAGAAAATTTCAAGATGGCACATTAAACATTGCCAACCTTTTTTTTTTGAAGTTTTAGCAAGAATTTACTTTGGTGTAACAGGTAAAGTTGGGGGAAATTTAAAGAGACACCTCTTGCTAGAAGTGCAAGACTTCTAGCAAGTGCAAGGCTTCTAGCAAGTGGGAGACTTCTAGGAGTGGGAGACTAGCTCAAAAATGGTGTCCTTTCCTGAGATCTTTAAGCTCTGAGTTAAATATTACATATTACCATCTTTAAAAAAAAAAAAAAGTTTACCTTCAATCAAAAAGTATTGGGACAGATTCTTTAGTTTTTCATACTTCAAGACAGATCAGAGCCAGGCACTGGTGGCTCATGTCTGTAATTCTAGCTACTCAGAAGGTCGAGTTTGGGAGGATTGAGGTTCGAAGCTAGCCAAGGGCAAATAGTTTACAAGACTCTGAAACACCCATCAAGACAAAACAAGAGCTGGAGGAGTGGCTCAAGTGGTAGAGCGCCTGAGTGTGAGACCCTGAGTTCAAACCCTAGTGCCACCAAAAAATCAAAAATATAACAAAAAAAGAGAGATCAGACATAAAGAAAGCTCTCCTGTTCATCATAACTAGAACCCTCAGGTAGGGAGATGACAACTGTTTTAGGGGCAATGTAATCCATACCAATTTTTTGTGAGCATGTATCTTTAAGATTTCTTTTATTACAACTGTAAGAGTCCAGAGGCAATGCACTACTTCACCAGTCTCAGAGAACTGAGAAAGATGTTTTTGGCAAAAAGCAATCCAGGAATTACTTAATGTTATCTACAAGTAAGAAAACAAAAAACATAGTTACAATACAATATTTTCTTTGTAACTGCAAGTTACCTATTACATATAATTATACACGAAACTGTTTACTTGCTTACCTAAAATAGTACAGTATTTGATGAGACAAGAAACAGAAATATCCTTATATTCTTTAAGTCAAGAAATTCAATGCCATAAAAATAAGATAGTAAACAGAATCATGAAAATATTAGCAGTGTTATATAATTTAGAATGATGTATTATTTTATTTTGTTCTTTATAGTTTGGTAAATTTTCAATATTCTACTAAAAATAACATTGTTTCTATTCTGAAGAAATGTTCTGTTCAGGTAGAGGACATTACAGGAGAAAGAACTCAGTACATGCTTGGGTTCAATTAATATGTAGATAAGACAGCAATCCAACTTTGAATTTGTTTGTGTTATTTTTCATTACGCTGAGAATCATTCTTAGAATTTATATCAAATCCGTGAAAATGCGCCTGCTCTCAAGAAGAGGTTTCCAAACCATTTTTAAGAGGCCATAAAGCTATGGCCTCTGGGATGTGAAACCCACTTCTTGGGGTGAGAGTCTGATTTATTACAGTTGACAATATATTTAAAACTCTAATCCTTAATACAAAGTTCCACTCTTAAGGTTGTGTGGATTTACAAATTACATAGTGAATAGGAGTAAAGTCAAATGCCAGGCCCTGGTGGTTCAAGCCTATAATCCTAGCTACTTGGGAGGATCAAGGTTTGAGGCCAGCAGGGGCAAAAAGTTTGCCAGACCCTCATCTCAATCAATGACTGTGTGCTATTGTACATTCCTGTCATCCCAGGTATGTGCAATGACAAAACAAATAGAAGGATTGCAGTTCAGGCCGCCTGGTCATAAAGTGAGACCCTATCTTAAAAATAACCAACACGCTTTTGGGAGCTGTAATCCTGCTCACGCCTGTAATCCTAGCTACTCAGGAGGTATAGATCAGGAGGATCGAGGTTCAAAGCCAGCCGGGCAAGTAGTTTGCAAGAACCTATCTCAACAAAAACCCATCAAAAAAAAAGGACTGGCAGCGTGGCTCAAGGAGAAGGCCATGAGTTCAAATCCCAGTGCTACAAAAAAAAAAAAATAGTACAAAAAGGGCCAGTGCTGTGGTAAAAGAGGTAGAGCACCTGCCTAGTAAGCCCAAGGCCCTGAGTTCAACCCCCAGTACTGCCTAAGCAACCAAACAAAGAGCAACACTATAAGGAAAATAACAACATAATTTGATTACTTATCTTACCTTTTCTCTCAGTTGGAAATAGAGAAGCAGGGCGAGGCACTTTGCAGCCATGTGAGATAACAATTTATCCGAATTTTGGAACATGCAGATCTGTAGAAAGACGAATACACTTACTCACTACTGCTAAGTTTTTAGAACTTTTAAGTATCTAAATCTTTGAAAAAAATTGTTTACCAATTTAGAATCGACTTCAGTTGTCTGTAGAAGGATTTTAATTATATCTCTGTATTTCTCCTTGGCATGGCTCTCAGTTTCCACAGACAATATCCTGGTTATCATCACCCTAATCACGGTTAGCTGAAGGAGCTTCACCTCCCGGACACAGCTCAGCTCAGAGCTTCTCTCCACACACAGCAGTGAGTCAGGAACAGTAGTCACCTCAACAGAGGATGGCTTATGGCTACCCTGCACACCTGTGGTGTTCAATCCTCCTAAGGAGGAGGCTGTAGAAAAGTGTGGATCTGGAAGAGCTGGGGTGAGGTAAAAGACGAAATTATGGCTGTCGTTTTCAAGTGTGGCTCCAAGAAGTACTTTCTTATATAATTGTTCTAAAACTTTATGGAAGGCTTCCATTTTGATTTCCAAAATGTGTAGGTAAGAGGTACAACTCCAAGTTGTAAAAATTGCTAGCTTAGAAGTTTGACAAATCTCTAAGATATTTCTTCATGAGGCCTAAAATAGGAAAAAGTAATTTTAAAATGAGTGTTATATATATATTACAAGGAAAAATAACTGTTTCCACTTAACCACTGTCTCAATCTAGAGGCGATGTTGAGTACTGAACTTTTCTTCCCTCATCCCCTCTCTCTCTTTTTTTTTTTTAGCAGGAGCTCTACCACTGACCATATCCCCAATCTTTTTTGCTTTAGTTATTTTTCAAATAGGGTCTCCAGCTTTTTGCCCCAGGGCAGCCTTGGATGGTGTTCCTTCCTAACCATGCGTCTCACATAGCTGGGATTTTACCATCATGCCCAGCTTGATTTTTTTTGTGTGTGTGTGTGTGATACTGGGGCTTGAACTCAGGGCCTTCACCTTCAGCCACTCCATCGGCGCTTTTTAGTAATGGTGATTTCAAGATAGGGTCTCGAGAACTATTTGCCGGGGCTGGCTTCGAACCACGATCCTCCTGATCTCTTCCTCCTGAGTACCTACGATTACAGACATGAGCCGCAAGCACCTGGCCAGCTTGCTTTCTGAGATAGGGTCCTGCCAACTTTTTTTTGCCTGGGGTGGCCTGGAACTGTGATCCTCCTATCTCTGCCTTCCAAGTAGCTGAAATTGCAGGTGTGAGCCACTATGACTGGCCTCATGAGTGCTGAATTTCTAAAAGGAAAAATCATTAAGAAAATTATTTTTCATATCATAATGATGAAACGTACTTTCCATACAGATTTAAGAGCGTAAAGTTTGTTGTCATTCTAACACAGGAGAAACATCAGCTTTTCCCTGATATTTTTCAGCGGCTGCCAGGTTTCTTGACCTTGGCACTGCTGACATTTGGAACCAGATTCCCGTGAGTGGGGGAGCTGCCTTGGACACTGCAGGATGCTAACCAACATTCCTGACCTCCACCCACTACATGCTAAAGCATTCCAGCCTCACCCACTAGATTCAGACAACTGAAAATGTCTGCATTTCTAGTCCCCTGGGAGGCAAAACTGCCCAGTTCAAAACCACTGGGCTAACTCAAATTCTTTCCCCTCACCTCCAAGTCAAACGTGGAAATCTGAAGATAGATTAACACTATATAGTTAAGCTATATTATGGCTATTGCTGACTAAGTTCCAACTTATAATTTTAATGATAATAACAAGAGTCCTTGGTCATCACCTGTCACTAAATAAAAAAACATTAAATGCCACCCTAAGAAAAAGACAAGTGAAGCAAAAGCCACGCCAACAGAAGCAAACTATACTTGTAGCTGGGTGACATTTAGACATTCTGGCTGTCTTGGCTCCCCTGACACGATGGAGACCAGGAAGAGGGTAGTGTGTGTGTGAAACAGGTATTTAGGACCATATGGGGACTTTAAAGCACAGAGTCCAGGCAAGGATCAGCATCAGAGGAAGCAGGTAGTTGTTATAAAGACAATGGCATAAGCAAAAGAGTAGACTGAAAATCCCTTCTCTGCCTCTGAGCCACCTGATACCTCTTCCATGTGGATAACTGATAGCAATACAAGTCATTCTTGCTTACCGACATACAAGTGAATTGTCTGATGGTGGGGAAATCCTCCCTCCAGTGGGAAAAGCCAAGGTTTTTTCTCTTCCTTTTGTAAACTCAATTTAACATTCTTTTTCCCCACAGAAATTCCCAGTTCTCTTAGTTCTCCTTTTAAATAGGTTCTGACATCTGCCCAATTACCACATTAATTAATGAGTTAGTTTTTGACATGTATACATTTTACATGGGTCCTGATTTTGTCCTCTTAAAACTTACTCTTTAACAAAATCCACAGACTTCTCTTCTCTACCCAGATCCAAATATAAATGCCCTGCTCACTTTTAACAAGAGACTGAAGGGTGACCGCTTACATTGGGCCTGACTTCTACTGTATGGCCCATTGACCTTCTCTTGGTCTCTCACCTTTCTCTATTAGCCTCTTCCTCCTATTTTGCTTCTAAGGAATTTCAACTGCTGTCAATCCCACCAGACAAAGCTGCTCTACTTTAGTTCTTTAGAGTAGAAATAAGTATTAAGAAACCTATAGATTTTAAGTTATGAACAAAAACTTTTAACATTTTCCCTGCATCCTATTTTCAAGCTACAGTGTGAATTCCACATGATTTACTCACATAGATGTGGGTAACCTTGTTCCATTTGACAACGTTAAACATTCATGTGCTTCCAAAAAGCTGCAATGGTGGAGAAGCATTTCACTCTTTGCTTCTAAGAGCTGACCAGAAAGGGAAATCTTGCACCATATGCTCAGATAGGACCTGCCTCCACCCTCCCTCAAAAACTTCACTAAAAAAATTTTTTTGAGATGGCATCTTGCAGAGTTGCTCAGGATGCCCTTGAACTCATGTTCTTCCTAAGCAGCTGGGATTACAGAGGTGTATTACCTTGGCTCTCTATTGTAGCCCAGGCTGGACTGGAACGCTCTTACCTCAGCCTCCAGGGTGCTGGGATTACAGATGTGGGTGACCAAGTTCAGCTTGGCCTCCTTTGTTCTATAAATCTTTACCTCTTCTCCCTCCTCATGGAGAGGTTGCCCATTACTCAACACTGCGATGTCTGAATAAAATCATCACCTTAGCTCCTGGCAGATTTTGTCAGTTACACACCAGAAAATGGTTTGCATATTCTATTTCAAGTCTTAATTCCATCACACTTACATCTTTATGTTTTGTGTTATACTAAACGGTTATCTTTCCTCAATAAAACTGACACTTTAAGACAGAATATTATCTCAAATTAGCTAATTTGTACTCAGCTCTACTATTAAACATTTCAGCCACAAATGTAATTATTTCTATTTGAATGCCACAGCAATGGAATACTTCCAGTAATATTTCTGTGGGTCTTAAGACTTTAAATTTTACCACAAATAAAAATGAAATTGCTGTTTGATCATTTTGACCTACAATCATTTCAGCACATAGACTAAGGAGAACATTAGTAAATAAATATTTTAGGGGCAAAATGGGCTGTTTTCTGCATGGTGGGAACCAGGTTCTTTAGTAGAAATGGTTTTGGAAAAACCAAAGGTTGCAAACTTTAAATTAAAAAATGCATATTCAGATAGATATTATAGACTGAGAAAAAACAATGGGGTCACCAACGCCTAGGGGTCAGGCAGATAATGACTGAATGAAGACAACAGGTGCTAAGCTGCTTCTAGTGGGACCTAGCAAAAACCTTTCATAATTGCACAGTCTTTGCAATACTGATGCTGGCCAAAGAAGTCTGCATTAAAAGAAGTATCTGTGGGAAGCCTGCTGAAAATCGAAAACCGGTATTTTTTTTTTTTAAAGTAACTACAGTATTTAAGGAAAGGGCCAGAACTGAAAAAGCAAACAGGGGGAATGAATGGAGCATACTCTTTTTCTGAAGTGGCTGCTCTGATGTTGGTACACTGCAAGCTGCGTTATCATGCTGACTCGTGGTAGAGTGCTAGCCTAGCAATCCCAAGGCTACAAGTTCAAATCCCAGTACCATAAGAAAAAAAAAATTCAATTACAACATGACCATGAGATATGAACAGACATTTCATTGAAGAGGATACAAAGATAGTAAATAAACACATGACAAGCCATTCAAATACTTAGCCACTAGGGAAATACAAATTAAAGCTACAGGGGGCATGGCTCAAGTGGCAGAGAACTTGCCTAGCAAGCTCAAGGCCCTGAGTCCAGTAATCCCCAGTACTGAAATATAAAATAAAACTATAGTGGTGGCACTCTGCTCATTTCTGAGGCCAGGGCTGAGGACCGTGGACCCTAAGCCAGTACAGGATGCCAAGAACAAAGTAGCAATGGCTTTTCTGAAATGTCTTGTCTTCAGATATGGCCAGACTGAGAAGCGGAGGGCTGACTTTATGAAGCCAATACCCTGAGAGACTGGCTCTAAGTGCTATTAATTATCTAGAATCAGAATCAAGACTCCAGCAACCTCAGCTATCCAGACAATAGGGGCCAGAAATTCCCCTTCCCGGAAGGTAAATCATCTGTCCTGGGATCTGCAGAACAGTCAAAGAACAAATCAATTCACATGCCCCAAGAGAAAAGTCTGGAAGAAACTAACTTTACTGTTGAAGGATCTTTTATAGAGCTGCATGGAGGACAGAGAGGTCTCACATGAAGACTGCTGACATTGTGAGTGGACTCTGGGGCCTTCACAGCGTTCCAGGGATTAGCAGCTCATGCTGTACACAGACCTGGTACACACTGGTCATTCGATTGTAGGGTCTCTATGGAGCAGGGATTTGCTGGGCTGCCCTGAACTGAGCGAAGATCATCTTGGAACACACTGTCTGAACTTTGCCACCATTCTCTTCTTGCTGTCCATACTGGTCATCCTTTGGATTCCCATCCTGACTCACCTGTACCGGGCTCTGCAGAACAGCACAGAACAATGAAAAGAGAAGAGATAGGAAAGAAGCCGATTTTGGTGTAGGGGAAGATAATCCTGGAATCCCAGGAATGTCTCAAGAAGGCCTGTGACTTACTCTGTGCAATGCAGAACCCAGGTCCCATGCCGACAAGAGAAGAGGACGCAACCCTGAGCAAGAAGCTGCGGGAGACATTTGAGGTGTCATGGAGGAAAGAAATGGGTTGGTGAAGTGGCTCAAGTGGTAGAATGCCTGTCTAGCAAGTGTAAGACTCTGAGTTCAAACCCTAGTATTTCCAAAGAGAGAGAGGGAGAGAGAGAGAGAGAGAGAGAGAGAGAGAGAAAGGCCTCATGGAGGACCACAGTGAACACAATGGCACCGTCCTGCTGGCTGATGTGACTGTCATGCACAGCTATTTTAGCTGAACACTCCTATGAGTAGCCGAGAATGTTTACTAAAGAAATACATGAGCTTCAGCTTTGGAATGAACCTCTCAATTGTACTGAAGTCAACAATTACAAAATCCTCAATCCAAGGATGAGATATGGTTTCTAGGGAATAGGACTCCTAGCATGCACTTTATAACCTGTGCTGCCACTTTTAAACATCCTTTGGATCAGCTATTGCTTGGCAATGCCCATTCTTCCACCACAGGGGTGGGGTGGAGGTGGGGAACCCTGTAAAAAAACACCACTGCCAGAATAGCTAGAATAAAAACTTAGTAACACCAAAAGTTGCCAGGGATGGGGAGAAACTGGATGCTTTTTATATGGCTGGTGGAAATATAAAATAATACAGCTACCCAGGAAAACAGCCTGATAGTTTCTTTAAAAAGCGGACCATGCAACTACCATATGACCCAGATATTGTACATTTGGCATTTATTCCAAAA